AGCCCGATGCGGGACTCGATCCAGGGACTCCAGGATCATGAGCTGAGCCGAAGGCAGTCACTTAACCAACTGAGCCACCCAGGCGCCCTGTCCATATTTCTAAGTAACATGCTTATGATGTTTCAATTTTCTTTTCCTGAGCATTACCTATTTAACTCCCCAAATGAAGGATGAAAATTTTGTTATTTTCACATCTCTGCTGTCAGGACACTTGCAGTCTCCCAGCCCTCTGAGGTCTAACCGCTCCTTGATCCAGCTCTCTCAGACAGTTCTCTCTTTTATCCCTACCTTCACCCCAACTTGCAGAGGCACCTGGTGCCACCAGGTTCTTCGCGGGTGAGGGGCAGCCTGCAGCATGGATGAGAATGCACGCCAGTGCCCCACCACCGGCCTCAGACTCAGCCCTCCTGCACCACCTAAGTCAATTATCTCTTGTTCAGGTAGTTTTCAGTTTCCAAAATGTTCCTCCCATTTTGTCCTTATGGGCTTCTGCCTTAAAAAAAAAGCAAAAATCAACAAACCCTTACTGTCATTTTAATGAGGTTCAGAAGGGAGGGGAAATTAAAAGCATGTGTTAATTCACTATCTTTAACAAGAAGTATATCATTGATTTCTTTTTCCTTTCTAAAGAGCAAATTATTTTCCATTTAAATTCACCAGATAAAAACATCCAACGCACTGAAGCAAAGCAGTTTGGGTTTCCTTCTACATCATCTTCCCATCCTGTGACCAAAGAGGAAATTAAAATTCAAAGACAGGCTGCCATTTGGGCCAGTGAAAGAGAGATAGAGATCGATGTTACACGGTGGAAAAGACTTCTCCCCAGAAAGAATCTGGCTACCCTTTTATCATCACCTTTAATAAACTTCTTAAAGAAGAACTCTGAGGAAGCTTCCCCCTCTGCAGATTCCCGTCCAGCTGCCCTGCATGTGCCCCTCAGCAATCTCCTCCTTTGCTGTGTCTTGGAAGAACAAGCACGCATTGGGTTTAGGAGAGAGAAAGAGCGGGAGTGTGTTCGTCTGTGCTCCTGGATCTGTGCACACTCATGCTTGTTAGCCACACCGTTTCTTACGGACCCCTCTCTCTCACTCACACGTCGGCCCAGACCCACTTGCCCCACATCCTCTGTTCTACCCGACCCTCTGCTGGCGCCAGGCCACTGGACTCTGCCCCTGTCCGGAGGCCTCCCTTCCACTCCCTCACTCCCGAAGCTGGTGCCCTCCTATGGCACTATGTCCACATCCACCGGCCCAATGGAAAACGGTCCTCTCCTCCTCAGAATTTCTCTCCATGTCACAGCGTTCTGGAGTGTCTGGGAAGAAGAGGGGCCCATCCCCCTTTCTAAGGTCAAGTGTTTCACCACTGTCCTGGATTTCTGCCCTCCTCATTTCTTCCCACCTTACTCCCGGTCTCATCTTTTAATGTTTCCTCTTCACGTCTTCAGTGGATCTTTCCCATTTTGAGGGACATGGCTTGCTTATAAAGATGTCCCTTTGGCCCTCCAGTCCTCTGTGCTGCAATATTCTCCTCTTAAAAGAGTAGGCTCCGCAGGCTGCCTGAAATGCCCATCTCCTGGTTGATCTCACTGTCCCCCCCAGGGTCCCTTTGGGCCATGTGCCTGCCTGCCGGGGCCTGCAGAATCCCAGCCCACTTTGGCTGGGGGGGGTCTTCACTTCCCAGCATTCTTCTCCTGCCTTACCCCCTCTTCCCAAGAACACCATCAGCAAAACCCATTTCTATCTCAAAAAAAAAAAAAAAAAGAACCACATAGCCTGGAGTCGGAACCTGTCCAAACTGGGCACACTTTTGAACATGCGGCTGGAGGTGGCAGCGTGACTCTGTATTTCACACAGCTGTTTGGATGAAGGTTTATCTACAAGAATATAAATTTGTGTTTGGAAGTTTGAACTGCTTCTAAAAGAATCCTTGCTTACAGCACTTTGGTAGCTTCATTTTGTCATTGCCAGATTAAAGTTCTGTAAGCAGAATAGCAATTATTTATCAGAAGTAAAATCTCATGCAAATGTTTTTGAGCCCAATACAAATTAGCAATTCTTCATATGACTAATGACTATATGCGCTTCCGATAACTGTAAACATGAGAAACAAAAGATCAAGGACTCTAAAATAAGCACTTGGGATAACAGAAGGGCTGTGTAGGCGGTCAGCAGCAACTGTGAAACCAAAAGATAATCGTTATGTGCTTCTCAAGATCTTCAAACCCAGAGGAATGTGAACCACCATTACGCTGTGGTTCTTATTTGCCCTCCAAGCAAAGTTCTTAATAGCAAGACTCTTCAGCTTTTTAAATACAAGCAAATATATCCCTCACTGAAATTAAATAGAACAACAACAGAAAGCTGCATTATGCTAGAAATAGTCAAATTTCATAAACCAATGAAGTTGCAAAGAACTGACAATAACTCAAATTGTTAATAAATAGTTCTTTTTGCCCGATAAATACAGCTTCAGATTCTAACAGTCCACAATTCTCATGACAATACATGCATTGAGTAGAACTGAATCCTTAATACAAGTCAAATCACATTTAGTCAGTTAGTATTCAAGTGACTACTCTGTGCAGAATGTTAGGACAGGTGCTGTGGGTAAAATACAGAGTAACTCATATGCAAACCTGTAGCATAGCAGGTTACCAGCCTGTTTAAAGGATGCAGAATACCTTAATAAAACTTTTACACAGTAACTGAAGCTCTGTGAGCTGAACCAAACACATTCTGCAGGGCTGAGTAGAATGGTTAGGTAACATAACTCCTGCAATTATAAAAGTTCTCCTGGAAGACTGTTGAGAGGAACGGAAGAAATGTACAGATTGGCAGAGAGGAGGGGGAGAGAAGTCTTACCAGACGAGAGGCTTGTGAAAATCTGACAAAGGAGAAACACACCAGAAAGGGGTAAGGCAGCCCAAAGGCCAGGCTGGATGCACACTGTCACTTCCCTTCCTCCTCACTGCTCCCAAAAGTCTCCCAGTTGGGTTCTGCCCATGAAAATTCTCTGCACACAGCTATTGCGATCATCACCTTAAAGCTCATCTTCTCTCCTATTCTGCTCAAAAATCAATGGCTCCCCACTGCCCCACAAACCAAATTCAGACTCCTGAGTAACACAGCATAAGTACTCAATACATTTGAGTATGTGTGATTACTTTCATATCTCTTGGTTGATTGAAAGGTTCTAGAAGGCAAACACCAATCTTGATTATTTTTTAATATTTTGGTATGTGATAGCACTTACAAGTATCTTTGGTATGGTAGAAGTTCAAAACATATTTATTAAATGAATGAACAGATGATTTAACTAACAAATTTTATATAGTATTGACAAAATGGTCTGGCCAGTTGGTAGATAACCTTACAAGGGAAGTTAGAAGTTTAAATTTGATACAACAGACTCTAGTCAGCTACTGGATGATTTTGTTTACAACAGTGACAGGATAAAAATGGTGTTTGAAGTATCTCATTTTAGTTGCGGTTGTAGAGAGTATTAGCCCAGAAAGGACTAGAAGTAGAAAGATCACTTTGCTAATAATATTTTGCTAACAAGATGAATAAAACAAGGGCGCCTGGGTGGCTCAGACGGTTAAGCGTCTGCCTTCGGCTCAGGTCGTGATCTCAGGGTCCTGGGATCAAGTCCCGCATCAGGCTCCCTGCTCCTTGGGAGCCTGCTTCTCCCTCTGCCTCTCTCTCTCTGTCTCTAATGAATAAATAAATAAAATCTTTAAAAAAAAAAAAAAGATGAATAAAACAAGATGAGGATTTTCGTCTGTTGATTAGTCACTAATGTGAATATTCCTTCAATAAACACCAAAAAAGAAAATTGTCACATGTATCTTTGTCTTTGATCTATTTTTAACGAGTTCATTTCTGAGATAAGAGATGATTTTTTTTTTCAGGCTAAGTGGTACTTCTAGATTTTAAAGAATAGCAACCAGGGGCGCCTGGCTGGCTCAGTTGGAAGAATATGTGACTCTGGATCTCAGGATGTGAGTTGGAGCCCCACACTTTGTGTAGAGATTACAAAAAACAAATAAACTTAAAAAAAAGAATAGCGACCAGAAATCCTAGAAATTAAGGACAGATATTGTTATTTATGCACTACAAATATTCTTCATATTAGTATCTTCCAAAATGATACTCTAACAAAATATGAAAATGGAGAGAATTCCATTTTGTCTATTCTTAGTACAATGCAGATCACTTGATTTTTTGGTTTTATCTCAGCTAAAATCAATAAGATGGTAGCATTTTATAATCTGGTATAACATTTTGATATTAAATGGATGAATCCATCAGCATTTGAACATGTCAGTGCATTAAAAAGTGTCAAGAGGTTGTAACTGGTGCCCACTCTCCTTTCTAAGAACTTATTCTCTCTGCTCAAGCCTCACTCAGCCTTCCCACCGTCTGCTGGAAGGTCATGGCGGGGGGACCGGAGCGGGGTCAGCAGCACAGGGCACGCTGAGGAGGAGGAGGTCAGCCTGCAGCTCTCCATCTCGGCTGCTCATTAGAAACACCTGGGAGCTTTTAACAGCTATGAATTTTTCAACCAGGATATTTTAAAAGCTTCCCCCAGGTGAGTTTGTTATCCAGGCTCGAGAAGCAGTGAATTAGTATTTTCTTTAGCCATGGAAAAATAATTCTTACATATGATTTCCTGGATATAGTGCCCAAAAGATTATAAAACAGTTTAAGGGTCTAAATATATGATGCTGCTAATTTTATTTTGAAGAGAAGAAACAAACTTTTACTTACCTGCCTTCTGACAATGTACAATCTTCTCATACACAGCATCTGCATTTTCAATCACGGCCTTGAGGGACTGGATCATCTGGAAAGGGAACACCCAGACACGGGGTTACACCTGACAACCAAACATCGGTCTACACACGTGCAGGGGGGCTCTCCTCTACAAACAGGCTGAGGTGCTGGGGCAAAACGCTCTTTCATCTGACTTCCCACGACTCAGTCCAAATGTGTGTGTACAAAATGAAAAATCCTGCCTTCCATGTAATGGTTCAAACAGACTGGGAGTATTGTGTTTCACAGTTAGGCTTGTACAACACTGAATTTGAAACTTGAGTCAATACTGAATGGAGTTTCAGTGTGAAAAGCTACAAATATATATGTGTACACATCTGATCTGTGTTTTAAATTATATTTTCAGTCATTCATTTTAACCAAATCTTCAACTTCATCTCACAGAAAGCTCTACCACCTACACACCTTACTCATTTCAGCTAAAGTGCCTTCATCTGAAAATTAGTTTAAAACTTACCATGAGGATCAAAAAACAGCATTTATTTTATTTTTTTAAAGATTTATGTATTTTGAGAGAGAGAGAGCATGGGGCGGAGGGGCGGGGGTGGGGAGAGAGAGAGAGAGAGATTCTCAAGCAGACTCCCCACTGAGTGCAGAGCCCGAAGCAGGGCTCGATCTCACAACTTTGAGATCATGACCTGAGCCAGATGCTTAACTGACTAAGTCACCCAGGTGTCCCTTAAAAGTGTTTTTATTTAATGCATCACTAATGATATCAAACTAGTATTTTTAATGTTCCTATCAATGATTTTAAGAGATCTAATTTTGAAAAAATAAATAAATAAAAATAGAAGATCCAATTTTGAGTTCTTATTCCAAATTACTTGTGTTTATTTTTAGCAGCCAAGCTTGAATTAAAAAAAAAAAAAGGATCAGGGCATAGCTGATCAATTATTTTACTTACCAAAATGTTAGGAAAAGATCTGTCTAAAGTAATCTTTTTGGCTCTAAAATCACTATGAAAATGGGATAGCCTGATTCAGCTCTCATAACTCAAATGGGTACAAATATGATGCTTGCCTTCATTATAGATTTCAACTTTTTGTATTTAAATGTCCAAATATTTTTCATTATAACATTACCCATCTATATTACATGACCATTTTATTTTAAATAATAAATACTAATCCATCACTCTCCATTTCTTTAAGTTCTGCCTTGTTTTTCTTTATAGTATTTACCACTAACTGCCACAGTCATTATTTTATAGAAACCAAGTATAAGTAGGTTGGATTATTTGTATAATTCAAAGAAGGAACACCCTATTTCGACTAGTTACACTTATTGAAACCCAAGCATAATCAACAGGCCTCTTAAGAAGTGCACCAGATTCTTCAAATGAGTCACACAGCATTTACCAGGTTGTCCACTGTTCGAAGAAAATTATAGTAAACCCCAAAAGGTTTAAGGCCCACACAGGTGCTCATTTATGCCTTCATTCATTATCCGTGGCCCAGAGCAGGAACTGGGGACACAGGGACAGACAGCATATAGCCCCTATCTTCAAGAAGCCCATATCCCATGGGAAGAGCTTAGAGCTTGCACTTTGGAATTCAGTATTTTCACATTCGTTCTTCAAGATCTGAGTCATGCCTGTAAATTAAAATATTCTATTTTACAGCTTGACATATTGAACAGGCAATGATAAAAATGAGTAGTTAAGAGCTCAATTACACTGATATAAAGTCATTCGTACCATGACATCATTTGCATCCCGAAAAGGTTCATACCGTCATCAGTAACCTTTTTCAGCTTTGATGTCAAGCCAAAATGAGATATGAAGAAGCATAAAGCTTAAAGAAGTCAAGGATGGTGGTTGTCACAACTCACTATCAAAGAACTAGCTAACTGTGCCTCCATCACTCAAATAGGAAAAAGGAGAAGAAAAAAAAATACCAGCAATGGAATGAACCTGGTCATGAAGCAGATGGGCAGGACAGGAGCAGTAACAGAAGGAATGTAGGAGAACAAGACAGTAGCACTAAGCACAGGCTCACGCATACAGATGACCTGTGGGGGAAAGGTGGTCAAAACACACTCTTACTGAGCATGGTGTGGGGGCAGAAAGAGCTCAGATTTATATGGGCTTAAATCCTGGTTCTGCTGTTCATTAGCTTTGCCATCTAGGCCAGGATACTAAACACCACGGAGCCATCATTTCCTACCTATAAAATGAGTTAATAAAAGACGCCACCTATATAATGCTGTGAGGATTAAATGAAAGGAGGCACAATGAAGACACTTACAAACAGATGTGACAATGGATGCCCCCATTTAGCCAGCGGGCCTGGGGAAGCCTTTTCTGGTAACCCAAGATTAGCTGAATGAGTATGCCTTCCCTTCGTATGTTCACTGGCAATGTTTCAAACATCTATTACTAATTTTAGTTTTACTTGAAAAGTCTGGTGTGGTGAAGCTCAGAGAAACAACAAATCACATTATTATTCTTAGAAGCATCTTCCAGTTTAAAGTATCACCAAAGGTTAAATAGTTAGGCACTTTTCGGCTGTAAAATACACCCGAGGTTTAAGGACAGCACATCCATTTCAAGGGTCTGGAGAGAGAGGCTCGCCTGCCTCCGATGCTCTAATAGTACTTGAAGGATCAATCCTTTATTCTTGGGACAATCACTGACTGAGGTCCTCTAAGTGGGGGACCCCGAAGTAAGCGCTATGAATGAATAAAGAATAGTTGCTGACTGAGGACTATGAGCAAACAGTAATCACAACAAGATGTGGCGTGGCCATTGTAGCCCATGTGCTACTGGGTGTGACAAAGTTAAATACCCCTAAGCCACAGTAGGTAGATGGGATATTTAGTGGGGGTGTAAGTGGTGGTGTCATGGCATCCTGCTGATACTCTGTTTGTGGACTGGACTTAAATACACACTCCACCCTTATTTATGAGCAGTATATAAAATACGAACGTGGCTACTCCACCAGGGTGGAGAACGCAAACACAGCGAAAAGCCACTCCTCTCAGGTGTGGAAGTAAACTGAGGCAGCTATTCGCAGACCATCTTGGAGGGGTACTCTGGAAGCAAGCAGCCTCAGAGAAGGTCAGGCACAACGAGAAACAATCAGTAGAACTTAGAGAAGGCAGGAAGAAAACATACCCAGACCTTAGCAGAGATGATTCATCCTGCCACACCTGTTATGAAGTGTTTTCACCACTTCCTTGGAGAGGAGGAACTGCCAGTTTATATCTTTTTATAGTTTTAGGGTACATATTTACAGTCAGGGTGGGTCCTTACATTAATGTAGAGTAAACAGTTTATAGTTCTCCTCCATAGAGTGTGTTCATTAATCCTCAACTCCTGCAGTATTTGCATAAAGTGTCCTTGAGTGAAAGAATCCCGCTGGGTACTCCCCAGCAAGCTGTCTGGGCTGTGAGCCCCTGTCAGCGCACTCTAAGGGTCCAGCAGGCTGAGAGGGCAGAGCCAGGCGGTGGACCTTCCTGCCTGCCCACCCAGCTGGCTGAGGTCTTGCTTCACTCAGCTCCCAGCTATGACTGAATGTAGAGCACATGGCACGGAAGGAGGACACAGCAGGGACAACATGAGGGGGCCATTAGATCTAGAGGGGGCCCATCTCACCCTGGGTCTGCTGCTTTATAACAAGCTGTGGTTATAAATAGTACAAGTGTTGGTTGAATGAATCAAAATGAAAGTAATTGAACGCCTCCTCTGCATCAGGTATGTACTCAGTGCTTTCTATTTCATTTAAGGCTCACAAAACCCATGTGAGGTGGGGTGTGAACACTGAGGACCTGAGAGTTAAGCTGCTTCCCCAAGGTCCTCCGGTAAGAAGGGCAAAGGGACTGCAACTAAGAAACGATGCATTCTGTTTGACCTCAAGGCCCCTGCTTTTCCACAGCACCAGGACGCGTCTTGCCGTCCGAGTAGCAACAGCGCAAGGAAAGCTGAGGAAAGGGCATTCCAGCCAGAGAGACATACAAAAGCAGAAAGGAATTTAGTAACACCTGACATGTGCTACACACAGTAGGCGGTATAGTCTCTGCTACTGACTTCCACCTAGAATTGTCCTTTTGCTTTTATAAGGTTTTATTTATTTATTTGACAGAGAGAGAGAGAGAGAGAGCACAAGCAGGGGGAGTGGGAGAGGGAGAAGCAGGCTTCCCGCCGAGCAGGGAGCCTGATGCGGGGCTCGATCCCAGGACCCTGGGATCATGCCTGAGCCGAAGGCAGACGCTTAACCAACTGAGCCACCCAGGCGCTGCAAGAATTGTTTTTTTTTTTTTGAGAATTGTCTTTTTAAATAATATTTCTGTAAAATGCTTTGGGAAAACATTCTTTTAAAATGACAACAATAAACAATTTGCTGGGCTCCACTTAACAATTCATCATTATAAGAGAGAAATCATTTACATTTAATGTGAAACTAGTAGAATAAGCATTTCAGAGTAGACAAAAGCAAATACGTGGGGAGTGACATCAAGAGATGAGTCAAAGGGAGAAACTGCTTTAAATTAAATTATTTTCTCTGTATATATTACATGAATATGTCAATGTAATACAAGGCCCAATAGACTGGTTGGCTTTAGAAGCATTATTTACATTAATGCAAATGCATTTCCACTGATCCCTTTAAACGCAGAGGTACAGGTCTTGGCTCAGATTGTCCTGCTGCTAACTAACCCTAGTAACTTACCACACGGACAGCTCATATTATTTATGAAGTACAAGATGCTTTTGTGTAGTTGTTGCTAATAGATTTTCTATTAATGTCCAGTTACCAGTAACTCCCTAAATTTGTGGAACTAGTGCATTTGGAATATCTATGGATTTAACATAGCCCAGAAACCCATTTCATAAATTTGATCAACTCTATTATAGGATTTTAATACAGGACTCCCGCAGATGAAAAGCAGGAAGTTTCAACTAAAGGCAAATAAAAATTCATATTTCATTAAGCTGGACAGAAAACAGAAATGCCTTTCATAAGAATGTTCTGTTTCGAAAGTAACTCCCATGTTAGTATTAGGCAAACT